TACCTGTTGATTATCTTATTCTCATTCTATAATATTGTTTACAGGCTTGCGTCTTGGTGAAATGGAACGTGATTGTTTGATTGCATATGGTGCTAGCATGCTAATATTTGAACGGCTAATGTTGTCAAGTGATCCTTATCAAGTCCAGGTGATATCAGAAGTAGTTTGTGACTTATATTTTTTAGACGCTGGAATGATGCAGGGTGGCCTAAATGCTAATAGTATTATAGAGTGAAATGTACTGGATCTTTGAGATTTCCTACACTGTCACTTTGTGCATAAACTCGAAAAGCAAGGATCTAAGTCCTTCAACCTTTGAAGTGGTTCACTCTAAGAGAAATATCACCTCTTGTTAACCCACTTAAAAAGTATGATGAATCGATCATCACTTTGAGGTGAGAAGCGAGGAGAAAATTTATGACTAGTGCATGTCACTCTATCATATATATTTTGCCAAAGAATAAATTTGCCTCTTGACATTCACAACAACAAAAAAGCCTCTTGCCCATTGGGCCTCTTGTCTTGAAAGTGGAACTTTTTTCAGGACACAACGTTGTTTGAGCCCTACTCCTTAGGACATTCCACTACTTGATTTTGTTTGAGGCACATTGTGGTTTTGTAGTTTGTCCCTAGGACTATCATATAATACAGTTGAGTTATAAAAAAACATTTTGACCTTCTCCTTTTGGTCCACCTGTCATACTCCGTTCCATTTACATTACAACAAAAATCTCGTCTACTTGGGCTTGTTTCTGAACTCTTGTATTTTAGGATAAAGTGAAAATAAAAATGGTAACCGAATAAAGTGAACACAGAAATTAAAAAAACTAGAGTGAAGACAATCAATTTTTGTTTTTGTTTACATTCCATAATACTATTTCTGTATTTGTTTCTGTCAATATCATATTTGATTTTGTTTTTGAGAAAAAAAAATGTGAAACCAGAAATAGTTTAGGCTTTGAGAGACAAACCTGAGTCTGCCGGTAGGTTTTGAGATGATAAGTGCCGGCTTGGGGAGAAAAAGGAAAGAAAAATGAGAAAGGCATAATGGTCTTTTTAACCGGTCTCCAAAATGTTTGTTTTCTTCAGTACCTAGCAAAATCTACGGGTGGGTGTTAGAGACAAACTGTTGTATCAGGTGTTATCTAATTCATATTCTAGTACTGTAATACTGGAGCTAACTTAGCCCAATGGCCAGTAGCCAATTTATGTTATTTATGTCATTACTTATTTCAACCAGTATCATGAAGCACTCTTTTTTCCCCCAATGGGTATTGCTGTGGCCTCACCTCGTGTATGAATGTGAATATTTTTCAGGTTTGCAGAAAATGTGGCTTGTTAGGCTACTACAATCATAAACTGAAGACATCATACTGTTCAATGTGCAAAAATGGGAAAAATATGGCCAAGATGAGGCTGCCATATGCTTGCAAGCTTTTGTTCCAGGTACTGCATAAGAGCATAATGTATTGCTGCTTTAATCATAGAACCTGATTTATTTTGGCCCTGCAATGTAATTGTTTTTCTAAGACTTCTTAACTGCCACAAAATTTGGGAACAGTTTTTTTTTAGGTACAGTACCCATCTGGTATATGTGATAGAATTTTTGTTAAGATTAATTTCTCTTATACAAACTACTCTGTTTAGTTCCCAAAATGTAGGTTGTTTTAGCCTTTTCTCTAAATGAAACCATCCTAGAACTTTCTTTGAGCCTTTATTTCGTTGCCACCTTGATATTATGCTACTACTCACATATGAAGTGCAGCGATGCCATTTGATCTACCATTTTTAAGCCTTGTGCACAAGTCTAAAGTGATATATTTGGAATTTGACTGATTGCATGCATAGCATTTTTTTTGGCAGATTTTTTAGACAAATACATGTTAGAGCTATTGTACTTTTGTTAATGGTGATGCTGGAGCTCTTTATCACCTGGCCTATTTCTCTTTATAAATCTGCCTGCAGAAAATTGCACAATCCACTTAACCAAAATGAACTATCCTGTGGTATCAGTCCCATTCCCTAAATGATAAATCTCATTTCTTGGTAGGGGGAAGCAAAGTCATACTATGAGGAATTTTGTCAGCATTACCTTAACTAATTCTGCTAGTACATGTAGGGTTCCTGTGTAACATTATAGTTATATATGCCATGCTTGATTGTTCATAAACCAAGTTACCATGCATTTGATTTCATTATGTTCACTTGTTTGATTTTCTATTTCAGGAATTGCATGCAATGAATGTTGTTCCACGCTTGAAGTTAACTGAAGTATAATACACGATAGATGCTGGAACTGGACCAGAACATTGCTATCCAAAACAAAATACCGGGCAAGTGGCCGATTTGAACTGTCAAACAAAACATGGCCTAAGTGTAGAAATAGTTCACCCAACCTTTCATCCCATGGATCGCTTTCCAAACTGGTAACTGTATTGACAAAATGGGTTTAAAAATCCATGAAGATTTTTTCTCTCTTTTTTAACGAAAAATCATGGAGATTTTCTTTGCCCGTAGAGTAGATGCAACAACTTTCAGGTAAGGAGTATTGTTTTCCTCAAAAAAAAAAGTAAGGAGTATTGCTAAGTTGCACGCCATAAGCATACTGTACTGTGGCATGTAACTGATTTAGACAGCAAGGATGTTCCAATTCTGCTGCAAATGGATTCGAAACCTGAACCACAAGATTGGTAAGTAATTCAGTGCGGTACAACTGTTGAGCTAGTCTACAGCCTGTTCGGCAGGCCGTAAACGATCGTGGATTATTTACTGCTGGCTGGTTTGGTATGAGAGAAAAATACTGTTCAGCTTATAATCCACGATCGTATACGAGCAGGCGAACAGGCTGCTAGATAAGAAACACACAGCACATGAGCACAAGCATCTGAAATAGAACACTGCAGATGTCCCCAAACTAAAATGCCACCTTGTTGGAAGATATAGCACAAGCTGCGCAAGTCATGGCCAGGATTCAGGAACATGTGCCCAACAAACTTTTCAGGAGATGGTAATTTGACAGAGATATCCAGTTTGTTTTCACAAGAGTTTACAGCCTTAAACGATGATGAGTATCCATGGAGACGGAACAGTTACATGTATGGCCACAGAAGCCGTCTGAAACATAACAGTGACAAGATTTATTGACGACATATAGCATGACTATATATGCAAATAAGGAAGTGGATGCTGCGGCCTCCTCCAGCAGCTGCTTCATTGCTTCATCCTTGGATTTCCCTGTTTAGACAACAATTGCAAGGATGCATAATGGTCAATTGGGAGTTTGTTTAGTGAGAGATTGCACATTTGGAACGGGTCTGAACAAACCTTCAACAGCCTTCCAAGCATCCCATTTGCCTCTCTCTTTCAGGCTGAAAATGCCAGGACGCCCTAACAGACAAAAGAGGAATGTTCAGTATGGAACTGTTACTAGCCAAAAAGCAAATTCAGCTTGCTTCGGAAAGGTTTGGAATACAGATGTGTGCCTTCATGTTCATAACACTCATAGTAGTAGTACCCTTTTTTCCCTGGGGGAAAAAAAGGCTAACCCGAATCTGACCACCTGATCTTTTCGAAAGAAAAAAAAGGTAATCTGAAGAATACGGTATTTGAGGAAGCAGCTTGTACGGAAAGAGAGATGCACAATAGCTTGCAAACTAAGTCACCATACATTTGGGAATTGTAAATATATGGAATCTCGCTTTGTATATAATAAGGAATCGAACCATTGCACACATTAACAATTAATCAAAAGGTTGCTTGGAATGCTAGTTACTCCTGTATTAAAAAAAAAGGACGTACCCAATGTAGAGAGCTCCCGCTCTGTGCGGGGTCTGGGGAAGGGTGTTAGTGGCAAGCTTTACCCTCACCTGTGCAATGCGAGGAGACCGCGACTCGAACCCGGGACCTTCCGATCACAGGCGGTAAGACTCTACCGCTTGCACCAGGCCCGCCCTTCTACTCCTGTATTCAAGAAAAATCAAAATGTTTTCCTGCAATTCCGAAGTGACAACTGATTTTCTGCACCATATGTCGAAATCTGAAATTCTGTTTGGTGCGCTCCATCTATAGTGACAAGGTGTTCCATAAAAACATGAGGCCCCAGGAATCCAAAAGCTCACACGCACGAGCGCCCCACAAGCATGAAATCCATGGCAAAATCAAGCACATCACAAGGCAAACAAGCCTGCTGTGCTGTCATTAGAATCAATACTCTTCTGTCTTGATTCGCCACAGAAAACCATGAGCATGTATTGCCAGCCTAGGCAGGACAAACTTGCATTGCGAGCAGACGAAATTAAAGTTTGTAGCATCCGAGCGGTACGAGATTCGATCGACAACATAAAAAAAACAAAACAAAACTGTCACGAACAGGCCTTTGGCTGCTCTTCGAGTTGGGCTGCACTAGCTGTACCGGCCTGTAAGTTGGCCTGCGAGCCGCATGGGTGTATCTTTTGGGCTTGGCCCATTTCTATCGTTGCACTGATGTTAAACTCGCTGTGTGGGAGGATGGGTGGAGAGCGAAGAAGACAAACCTAATTTCCGAATCCTCTTTCTCCTTCTGTTGTTTGCTCGAGACGGCGCCATCGCCGTGCTCACCGCCGCGCGTGCATGCCGGCAACCTTCCCCTATCTGGTTAGAGTAGTCACATTTGGTACCAGAGCCATCCGATCCATCGCTATTACGGGTTCGTAAAATCCCATCGCCGACGGTTGAATCTAGAGCAGCCGCGCGGTCATACGCCGAATCCCCCATCTCCACCACCAGATCCGTCCTCGCCGCCGTTCAACTCGTCCACCACCTCCTTCCCCTACCTCCACCCTCGCCGATTCCACTGCGCCAGCAAGTTTTCCACCCTGCCGATCCATTTTTCTTCCACCCCAATCGCTTCGCCAACACTGCCCCTGATCGATTTCCAGCTTCCAGTCGATCCGCCACCACCTCCATCCAAGCTACCCCACTCGCTGGCGCGCAAACCCAAACCACCAACCCTCACCTCCCGAATGGCGACCGCCGAAGAAAAGCTCGACGCGCTCAGCGCGCAGATGAAGTCCATGCTCCTGCTCATGGAGTCCTTCAATCGTTGGCGTCCTGAGGTCGATCACTCATCCACCGAGCTGACCATGGAGATCAAGACTCTCACATCGCGCATGGAGGCGTTGGAAGCGAACAACGCTCCGCCATCGGCCCCGAAGCGCGAGGAAGAGGGGCGGGCCATGGGCCACGGCGCTGCAACATCACCACAGGGGCATGATGGAGGGAGTCTGGTCCTCACTCATCCCCTGGCCAATGGTCAGTCATCCACCCCCAATTTTCCAGTTCATTATCGTGCTGCGCCTACCACCAATGAATGTCGCTTGCCTAAGGCCCAGTTTCCCAAATTTGATGGGTCTCATCCAAAAGTCTGGAAAGAAAAAGCGGAAAAATGCTTTGACATGTTTAATGTCCCCGTGCATCGTTGGGCTCAGTATGGCACCCTTCATTTCAAAGGGCATGCTGCTTTATGGTTACAAACTTATGAAGCACAGCATGGGGTGGATAACTGGGTTGAACTCTGTATTGCTATTGAGTCTAAATTTGGCAAAGATCTCTATCACAACTCTATGCTAGAATTATTGAGCATTAAGCAAACCTCTTATGTTCAGGACTATTATGATAGATTCCAAACCGTCATGCATAAAGTGCTGGTGCATAACAATCAATTAGATGATGTTTTCTTTGTTAGCAAATTTCTTCAAGGGTTGCATCCTGACATAAGAGCTGCTATTGTTTTGCATAAGCCGAGAACAGTTGATGTGGCTTTGTCACTGGCTCTTATGCAGGCTGAGGTGTTGGAGTCTCAACCCAAGTATTTTGGCAAGCGCCATTATCGCGATTACAACAAGTATCAAGGCAAGCCACCTCAAGCAGCAGCACCTGGTATTCTCGGCGCCCCTCCAGCTGAAGAAGGTAAACCCAAGTGGGAGGACAAATGGACCACACTCAAAGCTCAGCACCGTGCCCAAGGTTTATGCATGAAGTGTGGCGAGAAATGGGGCAGGAATCATAAATGCCCTGAGAAAGTGTCCCTACATATCCTAGAGGAAGTCATGGAACTTTTTCCAGAAGCCATCAAATCTGAGCCAACCTTTGATGAATCCAGTGACGACGAGGTATTTTCTTTGTCTCAGGCTACAACAGTGGGGGTGCAAGGCAGGAAAACCATCAAAATCACTGGGTTGGTCAATAGTCAAGAAATTCTTATCCTGATTGACTCGAGCAGTTCCAGCTCTTTCCTCAGTGAGAAGACTGCTGACACCTTAAAGTGTGCTCTTACATCAGCTCCTCCTGTATCGGTCACAGTGGCCAATGGTGAAAAGCTTCTGAGCCAGCAGCAGGTCCTCAATTTCACTTGGTGGATTCAGGGTCATACTTTCTCCACCAATGTCCGCATTCTTCCATTACCTTACTATGACATGGTGTTAGGTATGGATTGGCTGGAGAGATTTAGTCCCATGTGGATCCACTGGAAGAGAAAGTTGTTGCGGTTCACTTATGCTGGGCAGAGAATTAGTCTAAAAGGAGTCAAGGACAAACTGTCTACCTGTCACAAGCTAAAGGCAAGGAAACTTAAGGGTCTGCTCAGGAAAGGGGGAGTGGCTCAAATGATACATCTATGTCAAACCCAACCCACCCCACCCACTGAATCCATTCCAGCATCCATCCAGAACCTTGTTGACAGCCATGCCCACCTTTTCAAAGAACCTGATTCCCTTCCACCAACCAGAGAGTTTGATCACCACATCCCATTGATACCTGGTGTCAAACCTGTCAACATTAAGCCTTATAGATATTCACCTTCCCAGAAAGACAAAATTGAGCGCCAAATCCAGGAAATGCTAACCAATGGCATTATCAAGCCCAGCCATAGCCCCTTTGCCTCCCCAGTTCTTTTGGTGACGAAGAAAGATGGCAGTTGGCGTTTCTGTGTGGATTACAAACAGCTGAACAACATCACTGTCAGGGACAAGTACCCCCTTCCAGTTGTTGACGAACTCTTGGATGAACTCAATGGAGCAACCTGGTTCACAAAACTGGATATGCGCTCTGGCTATCATCAAATCAGACTGCAACCAGCTGATGAAGAGAAAACAGCATTTAAAACCCATAGTGGGCATTGGGAATTTCGGGTGATGCCTTTCGGGCTCACCAACGCCCCTGCAACATTTCAAGCTCTAATGAACACCATTTTCAAGCCCCTGCTCCGCAAGTGTGTGCTGGTATTTGTGGATGACATCTTGATCTACAGTCCAACGCTAGACGCCCACTTGGAACATTTGCAAGAGGTTTTTCATATCCTTCAGCAGCATCAGTTCTTCCTTAAGCGATCCAAGTGCTCATTTGCCCAACAGAATTTGGAGTACCTGGGACACATCATCAGTGCCCAAGGAGTGGCCACAGACCCCAAGAAAATTGAAGTTGTGGCCAGTTGGCCCACTCCAACAGATCTCAAGCAGCTACGGGATTTTCTCGGATTATCCGGTTACTACCGCAAATTCATCAAGAATTATGGCCTGATCAGTAGACCATTAACTGACCTCCTCAAGAAGGACGTTCTCTTTCACTGGACCCCCCAACTGCAAATGAGTTTTGAAGCTCTCAAGCGGGCTTTGATCTCAGCCCCTATTCTGGTCCTACCAGATTTCAGCGAGCCATTCACAATTGAGACGGATGCTTCCTCCACAGGAGTGGGTGTTGTGTATTAGACAAAGGCCATTAGGCTTTTGTATATTCCTTGATAATAGATTACAGAAGGGATTACACTTATATAGGAGAGAGAGGGGATGGCCCAAGGGGCCAGTAGTGTGAAAGGGCCAGTATAGCTGGCGCCTGCACAGTTAGCTAGGAGATTACAGTAAATGAGCAAATAATTCTAACATTGTGCTTTCCTAGGACAACCACCCTGTGGCTTACATTAGCAAGGCACTTGGACCCAAAGATCAAGGACTATCTACATATGAAAAAGAATGCATGGCAATAATCTTGGCAGTTACCAAATGGAAATCCTATCTGCAACACCAAGAGTTTAATATAGCCACTGATCATAAAAGCCTGATCCATTTGGGAGAACAAAAGTTACAGGAAATGATGCAGCACAAAGCCTTTCTCAAGCTTCTTGGTCTGCAGTACAAGATATTGTACAAGAAAGGGTTAGAAAACAAGGTTGTTGATGCCTTATCTCGGCAAGCTGAACCTAGCACAGTGGCAGCCATCTCTACCGGTACACCTAGGTGGCTAGAGATCATAGTGGAAGGTTATACCAAGGATGATCAAACCAAGCAACTGTTCACAGAACTCAGCATCACTGGGTCAAATGATAAAGGTTTCTCATTATCTGATGGTCCCATCAAGTATAAAAAACAGAATTTGGCTGGGCAATCACACAGAAGCACACCGGGCAGTGTTACTGGCACTCCATTCTAGTGGTCTGGGAGGACACAGTGGTATTACTGCAACTTATCACAAGGTGCGCGCCCTGTTTGCCTGACCCAATTTGAAGCAGTCTGTCGTTGACTACATCAACGCTTGCGAGGTATGTGCCCAGGCTAAACCTGAACATTGTCGTTTGTCGGGTTTATTGCAACCATTGCCTGTTCCCCAACACGCTTGGCACACTATCAGCCTTGATTTCATTGAAGGTCTACCCAAGTCCAAGCACTTTGACACTATTTTGGTCGTAGTCGACAAACTGACCAAATATGCCCACTTTATATGTCTCAGCCATCCTTACACTGCCCTTTCTGTGGCTCAAACCTTCATTTCCAATGTCTACAAATTGCACGGAATGCCCTCTGTGATCATTTCAGATAGAGATCGCCTCTTCACCAGTGCCCTATGGCAAGAGCTCTTCAAACTTACTGACACTACACTCAACATGAGCTCGGCCTATCATCCACAGACCGACGGTCAAACGGAACGCTTAAACCAGTGCCTAGAAACCTATCTTCGTTGTACGGTTCACTCCTGTCCTCACAAATGGGCTCAGTGGGTTCCTTTAGCCGAGTTTTGGTATAATACCACCTACCACTCTGCCCATGGTCATACTCCCTTTGAGGCCTTATACGGCTACCCGCCCAAGCACTTCGGCATTACACTTACCGATGCCTGCTCAGCTCCTGATTTGGAGGATTGGCTCCAGTCCCGTAATATCATGTTGCAGTATATCCAGCACAACCTGACTCGCGCTCAGCAGCGCATGAAACATCAAGCTGACAAGAATCGTCAAGAAAGAACCTTCGCTGTGGGTGATTGGGTCTATATCAAGCTGCAACCCTACATACAACAATCCGTTGCCCGTCGTACCAACCAGAAGCTAAGTTACAAGTACTTCGGACCATATCTGGTGCTCCAAACCGTGGGTAAAGTAGCATACAAGCTTCAGTTACCTGCCACTAGTCAAATTCATCCTGTTTTGCATGTGTCACAGTTAAAGAAGGCTCTACCTCCGAACACCACCCTGTCGACTGATGACGAGCTTCAACTTCTCTACATGCTGGAAGGGCTTCCACCGTCCCAGGTATTGGATAAGCGTCTTCATCTGGTGGGTCGCCGGGTGGTACCGGTTGCTCTGTTGCAGCGTGAATCATGCCCAGTGCATTGGGCTACTTGGGAGCGTGCCACGGATGTACCGGCATCGCTGCTTCAGTCAGCTGATTCTGCATCGCGAGGGCGCGCTGCAGCTTAAGGAGGGGGAGATGTCACGAACAGGCCTTCGGCTGCTCTTCGAGTTGGGCTGCACTAGCTATACCGGCCTGTAAGTCGGTCTGCGAGCCGCATGGGTGTATCTTTTGGGCTTGGCCCATTTCTATCGTTGCACTGATGTTAAACTCGCTGTGTGGGAGGATGGGTGGAGAGCGAAGAAGACAAACCTAATTTCCGAATCCTCTTTCTCCTTCTGTTGTTTGCTCGAGATGGCGCAATCGCCGTGCTCACCGCCGCGCGTGCACGCCGGCAACCTTCCCCTATCCGGTTAGAGTCGTCACAAAAACAAAACAAAAAAAACAGATACATACCGATGTTGACGTCGCCGACGGTGGCCTGCTTGTAGAGCCTGTAGAGGATGAGCTTGTTCTCGTTCGTCGTCGTGTCAGGCAAGGTCTTGGCCTTCTCGGCGTGCTCCTCAAACTCCTCCTGCCAAAATCAAAGAGAAGGTTAACGAACCAAGGAATCTATTTCGTCACCAGGGATGGCTTTGCCAGCAGTGCCGGCACTGTGCTAGCTTGCATAAGCTGGGGACAAACCGATCCACCAATCACCACAGATAGCTTTGCAAGTGGTAAGTGGTAAGTACTGTGCTACTTGCTTCTTTGGCACGATCACGAAAAAAAATACAGTACAGTGCTACTTCTATTTTGCAACGATTTCAGAGCTACAGAGTGTTGCTAATAACTTGCACGCCATAATAATAAGCAGACGATAGTCACAAAACTCAGACCACACTTTATTTGTAGGTAAAATAAAAATAAAATAGGTTAGGTGAGGTCCGTATAATGACTAGTTAACGAAGACAGCAAGGCAGCACTGCTGTCTCATTGGCTCTGAAACCTGAACCACAGAATCCATCAGCGACGACGCTAGCGGTTCACCTAATCCAGACTCTGAACTTGTTGCCACCAAGCAACAACTGAACCGGCCGGCAAGATCACAACCACACAGCAGCTGAAATCACAAGCAACCAACTACTTCACCAGCGAAGCCGGTGGTCCCAAATCGACCTCTGAACACTGCAGGTTTTGCTCCACAACCCAAACACATCTCTTCTTCGAAGACGCAAATACAATACAGAGCGGCGAGGATCCGTACCTGCAGAGCCATGGCGACGAGACGGCGGCGCTGCTCATGGGATGCCTCGGCTCGTTCTTGGCGGTCGATTGCGTCGAGGGGACGGGGCGGGGAGGTCCAAGCTGATGCGCCCGCCCTCTACTGGCAAACGAAGGGAGGAAGAGGAAGAGGAAGGAAGGTGGTTTTTGCTGAACAGGGCCTTCCACTTGGACTTATTTACAAACTGGTACCATGACCGTGTCCGTACGTGGCACGCACGATCTGGGCCGTCGGTGGTCGCGATCCGAGTTGCGGCGGGACTCGTGGACGGCGGCACGCGAGCGCACGCCCCTCGTGTTGGTTCGTGCGTTGCGTCTTTTTGCGCTTTGTTTCTTGGACTTGGATTTTATCACGAGGCTGAGGTTGCACTCCGAGTGCTCCAAGGCTTTTCTTTTTCTTTTTTAAAAATGCAGACGTTTATATACATGCATGTTATTCCTCATCATATTCATAATAAACAATTAAACATATGCACTATTGATAGATAAATATCACGAAAAGAACAACACCACTAGGCTTGATAATAAATTTTCCGAAAACATAAGTATCTATATGTAGGGAAGCCGAGAGAACTTAAATCACGTTGAGAGATTCCACCAAAATCGGGCATTGGATTGGAGAGGCCGTCCCAGATGATGTTGTAGCCGGTCTCTGTTCTAGTCTTTTGGAGGTACTCATATGCAGTGGCGGAGCCACAGGGTATGCCAGGTATGCACTGGCATACCCTGCAATATCGGCAAGCATAGTATTATATATATAGGTATATCATATAATGTATAAGTATCTATATTGTAAAAAAAGAAAAGAAAATGACTTACCTGGTGGAATCCTGGATCACGCCACCAAGAAAGGCCCACGTGAGGCGGCCCATGTGGTAAGTCCACCAAAGGACCATGAAACGCCCTGATGGCCCGGTCACCTGGTGCCGCCGTGCATACGCAGTTACGCAATCCCACTGCCCAAGCGAGTACGGGAGACTTTCCTCCCAATTTTACTAACCTATCCCTAATGGCCTAATCTAATCTCGATTAGAGGCGACGGAGCAAAGGATGGAACATCGAAGTGATCGAACACGCCGCCTCATGTCGTGCCGCCTGAACGGTCGCGCTAATTAGATTATCAGATAGTCACAGTCTCACGGAGGTTTGTCATCTACTCGTCTTGATTCTTGATTCGTTATTTTGTTTAGATGAAATCCAAAATTTGTTATTCGGTCTCTTGTGCTATTTGTATTTTTTAAAAATTATTGTGTACGTGTACGTAAGCTTCTGCGTTTCACATAAAAAAAGAGCATTGGTTTACAGAGCTTTCTTGGTCGAATCGAATGTACATAAATTTATTCGTTCCCAAGGTTGGACCGGATATTCTAAGCATGTACGAGTCTAGGCCAGATACTTTAACCATATTCGCTTGAGCTACTTTTTAGCTATGAAACAGTATTTTTCTCTCACAATATTTTAGCATAAGCATCAGCATAAGTCAAATTTTAATATAAGCGAAACAGGGTGTTCGTAGTTCGTAGTTACCCGATTTTTTTTATTACAAGAACCAGTATTTTTTTTTGATACTACAAGAACCAATATTACTAGTTGTTAGTGTAACACCCTAAAATTTGAAATTCTTTTAAAAATAGTAAATTTGATTTAAATATGCAATTATATGTGCAATTCAAATTAGGAAGTAATATTTCTTTTATAAAATTAAAAGAAAATGCAAGAATAGAAACATGTGATGCATTCATGCTATTATGTATTTAATTACATGATTTTGGTGTTTTATTCAAATGCTAAGATTCTAAAAACCTTTTGAAAATGAGTTTGAAAATTTTATTTATAAAAGAAAAAGGAAAATTCCTTTCATTCCTCCCTTCCTCACATTATTGTTTGCCCCTCTATTTTTTTTTTTCCTTCCTGCTGCCAAAGACTGCAGCCAAAGCTCACTCGCCTCCCCTTTTCCCTTTCATTGCTAGCCCATTGACCAAATTTCAACAAGTCTTGCCGACCAGCCTCCCGCGACCAGCCAGCAATCACACGCCTTGTTGGTGACGCTTGGTCCCACACTCGTATCGGCAATGTCCCCTACCTCACATGCTCGGCAAACTTGGCTCTCAAGGCCAAGAAGAATCATTGCCCTGCCACGACGTCGTGGCGCGTCCTCCGTTGCCCTCGGCCTCGTTAAAAAGCAAAGCCCCCTCGCTCAACGCCGCTACTTTGCTCCGCTCGTTTTCGCCTCGTCGGCCAAGCTGCCGCGACGGAGGAGCCCGACCACCGATCTCCACCGATCGTCGCGCGTCTGCTCTCTACGCCTCTCCGAGCCGCCACCGCCTCCGATTTTCGCCCGTGGTGAGCTCGCCGTGGTCCCTCTCCTCCCCCATGCGTTACGTTTAGCGTTTACGTGGCTTTTAGCGCCCCTTTCATGAGACGTCCATGAGCTCCATGCCGCCGGTCATGGTGTCCGCCGCCCGCCTTCCCCTCCGGCCGATTTCTTGGCATGGGCGTGTTCGCTCGCTCCCCTCATTCGCCTTGGGTGCTTTTGGTTCTTAGAACCGTGGGCGTGGGCCCTTACCGCAGCCTTGATGAAACTTCACGCCGCCGGCCATGGCTTGCCTCATGAGTCATTTGTTTGGGCGGTAAAAAACCCCCAGACTAATCCGAACCGGCCCATCGCGCGATCAACGGCGGAAATAGAAGATACCCTTCGGGGTAAATTTGCTAAAGAGTCCTGGATTTTCTAAGTCCTAACCCGCCGTCCTTAGCGTATTTCCCGAATCGCAATCCCGTTTAGAAAGCGTAAACTTCATTTGTTTAAGTCAAAAGTACGCTTTCGAAGATTCTGAAATGCCATTCAATCAAGTTTAAGCTTATAGAATTGTCGTTTTAACTCCGAATTGATCCATTCAAATCGCGTTAGCTTCGTAATTTCATAAGCTACATGTTGGAGCTACTGTTAGTCAAGTTTGGAACTTTTAATTTCATGATTAGAATTAATTAAATATAGGGACTCTTTGGAAAACCCGCTTTAATCATAACTTTCAGTATTTTAGCTCCGTTTCTCGTGAACTTCGCGTTGGCGTGATCGTGAGAGAAACGTAGATTAGTTTTACACACATTTTATTTTGATTTCAATACTGTTGGTGTACTGTTCTAATGATAGGAATGTTTGCTTTGCATGAATGCTTTTGGAATGTTGTATGTTGCCATGTTGGTCGCGTTAGAACGGTGAGGAAAAGCGTTGGAGACCAAGAACTCTTCGACGACCAGCGAGAACAAAGACGAGTTTGTGAACCAAGGCAAGTATAACATGGGCCTTCCTTGATGTCCTATTTCACTTTAATCAATTACTCATTTGCATGTGTCTAATTTTGATACCCGTAAGGACATCCTAGTGATTGTTTATCCTGTTCCTTGTATCCTATGGGTTAAATGCATATGGGTAGATTGCTAGTGCTCTAACCGAACTTGATATACTGTTGATGAAAGATACTATGGAACAAAGTGAGTAACATGATTTATAACAACTGCTCCATAGGGCGAAAGGGCAAATGACCTTTGTTCATGTTGCTTCGAGCCCTCCATAAGGACTTATCTGTCGGCAAAAGCCGGGATTGACAATTACTGCAACCGGAGAGTCATATGGCTCGACTTTAGCTCGATAATAGGACCTTTTCTAGCTAGTTAGAGGTTACCTTTTTGGCGCAAATGGGGCTTGCCACGTTGGGTATAGGGCCCGCCTCTGTTCTATGTGTATAGCCATGATGGATATGTGCCATAGGAAAGGGGGTTCTTACATCTGCCTGCCAAAGAAACCTAAGCGGCCCCAACTTGTTAGGGAAACCTATGAAATGGCTTCATAGTGTACCTCGCCTTGCTCACCTTGGAAGTGACATGGGAGTAATTAACTTGGGGCATATGGGGATCACGACTCATGGTGAATGTGCACCACCTCTGCAGAGGGTAACAAATCTGTTATAACAGTAGTGCTTTCATGATTCGAGCGGCCCGGAAAACTCACAGAATAATCGGATACTTGATGATGATCTTATAAAGTTGTTTAGTGATGATATATGGTACATATGACTCGATATATGTTCTTATGGGAATTAAATGGGAGCTTAAGCATAACTTGATAATACTTGAGAATAAAAGCTTGACCTAGTAAAAATGCTAACTGTAGTTAACGTAGTCTAACCTTTTGAGCTTCATAACCCCATGTTAGCTTGCTAAATACGGAATGTACTTACACTTGTTTATTTTCTTTACTTGGATAAAAATCCGGGATGGGTAACAGATGACAACGGGTATGAGGATTTCCGGAGGATTATTAGGCTTGTGGTCAACCAGTTGACCTTCCCCGTGAAGACTGACCCACGAGTTTTATCATCTTTTTATTATTCATTTGTGATGTATAAGACTAAGTTTTATTATAACTCGATGTATGAGACACCGTGATGATACTTTATGTAATTTGTCGACTTGTGTGTGTGATTGATTCCACAGGCACATACGAGTTTTGTGCATTCAATTTTATCCTTAAAATTGGGTGTGACAAATTAGTATCGAGACGTGTTGATTTGTAGAGACATAAGCCTAGTTAGAAAATGGTCGTTTTAGCATCTTTGTTCCTCTGGTTTCTTGCTTCTTGACTTATCCTTGTTATTTTATTAAAACATTTATGCTTTTCATACCTTAATCTATTATTTAAAATTGTTGATTCTAATTTCTATCTCACTTTAAATCTATAGATGTCTCATAATCCAAAGATCGCTTTCGCCTCAAAGACCACCGGCTATCGTGCCATGTTCACCAGCGTGCCCACCGGCGGAGAGGGAGATTGTGATCATCTCCGACGACGAGGAGATGGCTACACCGACGCCTACACCTACTCCTACACCGGTCGCCGCCGTGCCCGTCTACCCCGTGGTAGCTACACCGAGGAGTCGACAATACTACTTCCCCACACACGCACCATCCCAACTGTTCCTGTGGTGGGCGAGGAGATTGGTGGAAGTGCAAGTACTACT